CTTGTTTCTGTAATGAAATTGATTGACTGCTGGTTTTTTGCCAGAAAGCCTGGGGAATGCTAAGTTATAAGCCGTTATGCTGCCAAATTTTTTTCAAATGGAATAGCACATCAGTAGTAGTAGAATATTTTTCAAACTGAAGTGAAAGTGAATTTTTGTTGAATTACTAGTTGCTAACAACTAGAATTACTAGTTGTTAACAAGTACAATTAAAGAGGGATAAATATGATTAATAGTGCCTCATATGTTGACTTTCTATTTTTGTTTAATTCTCACAATATCTTTGAGTCGCTGATCACATTTTTCTCTAAATGATTCATCTTAGTCGGGGACCATGGGCAAGGAATGGATGTCCTCTAATTGTCTATCAAAAGAATATTGGGATGGGATAGAAGATTTTATTAAGTTTATGATTGAGCACGCCAATGATTGCAACAGGATTATTTGCCCCTGTCTTAAGTGTTGCCTTCTGAAGTGGGTTTTGCCATCCGATTGTGAGAGCCACTTAAGATGCTGAAACACCTCTATATGAAGGTTGTACTGATTTCACAAAATTGTCTGCAGTGTTGAAACTGTATAATTTGAAAGCAAGAAATGGGTGGAGCGACACAAGCTTCACAGAACTGCTGTTGCTTGTTAAACAAATGCTACCGAAAGAAAATGAGCTTCCAAGTAAAACGTATGATGCAAAGCAAGTGTTGCGTTTTGTTGGCCTCAGCTATGAGAAGATACATGCTTGCCCCAACGATTGCATTTTGTTTAGGAAGGAGTATAAGTCACTAACTAAGTGTCCTAACTGTAATGCATCGTGCTACCAAGAGAATGGGAAGAGCCCGAAGAAGGCATTATGGTATTTTCCCATTGTGCCAAGATTCAGACGTTTGTATAGTAATGTAGAAGATGCGAGAAATTTAAGGTGGCATGCGGATGAAAGGGTTAAAGATGGCATGCTTTGCCATCCTGCTGATTCTTCAGAATAGAAGAAGTTTGATATTGAGTATCCTGAATTCGGGAAAGAAGATAGAAATCTACGCTTTGCATTAACCACCGACGAGATGAACCCGTATGGGATGCAAAGCAGCACCCATAGCACATGGCCAGTGATTTTGTTTATATATAACCTTCCTCCATGGCTATGCATGAAACGCAAGTATTCAATGATGTCTATGATAATTTCTGGGCCAAAGCAACCGGGAAATGAAACAGATATATATCTAGCTCCATTAATTGAAGACTTGAAAGTATTGTAGGAGAATAGAGTTGATGTATATGATGCATATAAGGAAGAAACATTCAAGTTGAGAGCTATGTTATTTGGCACAATTAATGACTTTCCTGCGTATGGTAATCTCTCAAGGTATAGCATTAAAGGGCAACTTGGTTGTCCTATTTGTGAAGAGAGCACAGATTCCATAAGGTTGAAGCATGGAATGAAAAATTCATATATGGGACATCGTAGATGGTTGCATCGTGATCATCCTTACTGGCGATTCAAAAAATATTTCAATGGGAATTCAAAAGAAGGTAAGGCACCTACACCGTTGATTGGGGAGGATGTGTTTCAAAAGGTAAAAGATATAGATTGTGAATTTGGAAAACCTTTCACGAAGCATGTTGGGACAAGTGGGTGGAAGAAGAAATCTATTTTCTTTATACTGCCGTATTGGATAACCTTGAAAGTGAGACATTTTCTTGATGCTATGCATATTGAGAAAAACATATGTGAAAGTCTGTTTGGCACATTACTCCATATTCCCGGGAAGACTAAAGATGGTATAAATGCCAGGCTAGACATGGTTGAAATGGGGATAAGGGAGGAATTGGCACCAGAGGATAAGGAAACTCGTACATTTCTTCATCCGGCAGCTCACACCCTTTCTAGAAAAGAGAAAAGTAGTTTTTGGGAATTTTTTGCTTCAGTAAAAGTGCCGGAAGGTTACTCTTCTAACATTAGTAACCTTGTTTCAATGAAGGATATGAAGTTAAAAGGTTTAAAATCTCATGATTGTCATGTCTTAATGGAAAACTTTATTACAGTGGCAATACGGGCTATTTTACCTGATAAGATGCGAGTTACGATCACAAAGTTATGTTTCTTCTTTAAGTCTCTTTGCAACAAAGTGATTAATCCTAGTAAATTGCCAAGATTGCAAACCCGAATCATAGTTACGTTATGCAAACTTGAAATGTATTTTCCTCCAGCCATTTTTGACATCATGGTCCATTTAACCGTCCACTTAGTTAGAGAAGTCCAACTGTATGGCCCAGTGTATTTAAGATGGATGTACCCAGTTGAGTGTTACATGAAAATATTGAAAGGGTATATGAAAAATCGAAGTCGGCCAGAGGGTTGTATCGTAGAACGATATATTTGTGAAGAGGCCACTGAATTTTGTACCCATTACTTAAAAAATACAAGTGATATTGGGGTTCTAATATCTCGTCATGAGGGAAGGACAGATGGAGAAGGGATTAGGGGAAAGAAAGTTGTAACTATTTCAAACCAACAGTGGGAGCAGGCACATCTATATGTATTGCACAACTCTGAAGAGATTGAGGACTATGTGCATGAGCATATTGATGAGCTAAAGAGGGATAATCCCAATAAACTTGAAAGTTGGTACACCAAAACACACAATAAACAATTTACAGCATGGTTGAGAGAGCAGGTGCATGGCAAGTATAATAATGATCCTAATTCTGTTTCGAAGAAATTAAAGTTGTTGGCAGATAGACCGAGCAAACATGTGATTTCTTTCACAAGCTACCTTATCAATGGGTTCACTTTCTATACTAAACAGCAAGATGATCGGAGTAAACAGCAAAATAGTGGCATAACTCTTGTAGCTAGTACCATGCATATATCAAGTGCCAAAGATAAAAATCCTATCTATGCACGTATGTCATACTTTGGAGTGATAGAGGATATTTAGGAGTTGGATTACATTGAATTCAGAGTTCCGGTATTTGGTTGCAAGTGGGTAGATAATAATAATGCAATGAGGACTGATGACTTAGGGTTCATACAATTGAATTTGAATAAGGATACAAGGAAGAGCCATTCATTTTGGTTTCTCAGGCTACACAAGTGTTTTATGTCCCTGACCCGGCTACTAAAGGATGGTCTATTGTTTTGTTGACTGATAAAATGAATATTGAAGAGATGGGTTATGAAGACAATGCAATTGAAGATGATCCATTTCAAGAGACATCACTTGATTCTCATTTAAATGAAGATCAATCCATGTACGTCAGGCACGATCACAACGACGGAATATGGATTTCAAAGAGGGGGAAAGTGTTTCGTAAGAAGATCAAAACAATTCAAACCAAGAAGAATATGCAAAAACATAAGAGTAGAAAAAGAAAAAGATCTTCTTAAACATGCATGTAAATTCTCTTATTATTTTCTTTGATTCTTTTATTTGTTTTAATTTTGTTCAAGTCAATTTCGTCATTAATGATTTTATTTTCATTTAATAGATTTTGATTCATTTTGTTTAATTGAATTTCATTGCAGATGGCAAACGATAGCGGATCTAGCACTGATAATCCATCTCAGCCAAGAGATGCCTCTGACCAGGAGAGACAGTTGCAAGACGAGGAGCACGCATACAGAGGGGCCTTTGTGTCATGCATGAGGTCGTGAAAACTCAAACGGAAGGAAAGAAATTTGCCGTACAATAGAATAAGAAAGGACAAGCTATACGGTCAAATAAATTTATCAGCTATATTGGGGCAGTGGCACGAAGCACCGTGCCTATTACAGCGCAGCACTGGAGGAGGGTTAATCGTTTAGTACGAGACGCTATTTGGACAGATGTATCGGTAATATATTATAACAACTCAAATTTCGTTTTCTTACAAGCTGCGTGACACTAATGTGTTGTTTTATATGTTTTGCAGTCTGCAATTGATATAGATGAGAGCAAGAAGAAGTTTGTGGAGGGGAAGGCTGGGAGGGCACTGTGCTCTTTTTGATACTTTGTGACACAAGTACTTGAAGGATCCTTCCACAGCCGACGAGTCTGAGGTTCCTAGCTTGATACGAGACTTGGTCAAACCAGAGGATTGGGCTGCTTTTGTGACATCGCGTCGTGATAGTCAATTTCAAGTAATAATCCTCGCTCTTTTCGATATTAAATAGTCCATTTTGTCTAATCTATATACTGTTTAATTGTGAATCTACTTTGTTTTTATAGGAATTAAGTACCCAAAATAAGGAAAGGGTAAAGAAGAATGAGTATCCCTACCAAAAGGGATGCTTAGGTTATGTGGGCCTCAAGCAAGAGGTGACTCAGAAGGAGGGATCAGATGTCACTGTATCCCGTCAGATGTTGTGGGCATTGGCCAGGCAAAATAAAGATGGCCAAATTGATAATCCTCGCGTTAAGGAGGTCGTGGACAGGATGATGAGTATTATTCTAAATTAAATAATCCCACGTTATTGTCAAATATCTTTAAGTATGAATAACTATGTCAATGTTTGTTGCACAGGAGAGTTTGTCCCAAAAAGTTTTGCGGGGGCATATTCTACAGATGACCAGGATATATTGAGGAGGGCATTGGGGACTCCTGACCATCCTGGTCTTCTTAGGGGAGTTGGTTATGGAGTCACTAAGAGGGATTACTTCGGGTACCGACAAAAGCCCTCTTCATCGTGCACGCCTTCCTCTGCTGAGTTCATGGAGCTGAAGGAAGAAACACGCTGGTTAAAGGAGCAAGTTAAAGTGCAAGGGCTCCTAATCGAGCAGTTGATCAAGAATCAAGCACCATAGCCGGCTCTGAATCTCAGCCCAAGTGGAAAAGACAGCTGCACATTCCCCTTACTACCTGAGGTATGATACTTGTATTTATACAATTACATTCAATAATTTATATATCTAGCTAACTTGTCTCTCATGTTAAATCAGGGTGAAGCGGACGTTCAGTGTATGGCGGATAGCCCTAAACATCACACTGTTGCAACAGGCCGCATGTTCAATTTACTGGGGGAGAGTATGATTCATAATGTGCCTCTCCCTGCTGATCATGTGAGGGTGCAGTTGAACACTGCTATTGATGCGAATTATGCCCTCCCGATGCCCACCCAAGATGCAGAGACAGTGGCTCAAGCAGTGGGTAGCTTTGTCACTTGGCTTGGCCGTCTTCTTACATTAGGACATCCTTCAAAGGTATATATGTATAAGTCTGCACATTCAGCTGATTTAAAATAAACTCTATTTTAATTACTAACAGTCTGTTTGTCAGTCTAAGGGGAAGAAGAGCCTATTGGGTGATCACTCATTATCATCGCCACAGAAGCAGCCCTCTGAGCCTGTTCAAGCGGTATCATCAATATTTCAAATATATCTTGAGGAATATGCAGTTGGGGCCAAATTAGAACATGACGAGGATTTCATGATTCCCCTAGAGTTTGAGCTAGAGGTTTACGGTCGACCCTCATCAGATTACGTCACGAATGAAGTATTGAAAGAAATTCTGACGCATGGAATGGCCAGCACAAATACCTGTAACTTTTATATCAGGTATTTGTTAAAACCTTGACTAAATACTTAAGTACTTGAGCATTTATCCTATTGATATCTTTGTTTGTTGATTTAGATATCTTTTCAAGAACTTTATAGCCCCCAGTGGCCTTCATGACAAGTTCAAGATTATCAGCTCCTACACTTTTGCTGGCCACGAACCTAATATGAAGAAAGACTTATCTAGAGACTTGTTGGATATCTTCATTTCTAGGGCAGCACCGGGGGCTTAGACTTCGTTTTTGACGTCTTACTGTCAAGGGTACGTACGTAGTATACTAAACTTTCCTAAATTCTTTCATTTTCAAAATAATTTGTAATTATTCTAATTGTCTTTCTTATACTTAGGGGCTACTTGATGCTGATTGTGGTCAATCTCACAAAGCCGAGGATTTGGTATCTTGATTTTCTTCATGGGGATCCAACCAATCGACGATTTATAGTTTCATTGTTCAACAAGTAACATTTATATCTATTATTTTAATTTAATTTAATTTCTTGTTTTAATCTAATTTTTGACATTCATTAATATTCAATTTTATTGTCTTCTCTGGGCTTTGTGGCTATACCGCACAAATCAAGCCTTACCCTGCCCCCCGGTAAAAAACGGCCAATTTGACGATACCTTCCCGTGGAAGAAAGTGAAGGTATTCATTACCATTATTTACTATTCTACTAAATATGGTTTATTTATATGATTGACTAATATTATTTTCTTTTTCATTCTTTACAGTGCTCACGTCAGCCCAAAAAAAGCTCCCATTGTGGATATTGCGTGATGAAATTTATGAAGGAGATAATTATGCACAATGCTGACACAATCCCTACGCAGGTAATATGCATTTGTTAAAATTCAATTTATATATTTAAGAATTGTACTTACTGTAGCTTTACATTTATATCTAACTTATGTCATAATTTGTGGTTGCATACAATACTTTGCCAACACATATTGCACAGTGTATTCATCCGCTCAAATGGAAGAAATCGTTGAAGAGTTGGCGATGGCCTTATTCCATCAATGGGGACAAAATAAATAGGGAAGTTGCATAGTGTATACATTAAGACAGTGTATGTACAGCTTTGGTTTCAAGATTTTGGTTTTGGTTCGTTTTTGGCTGTTGGTTAGTTTTTGGCATTGCATAACTTTGGCAATTGGCTAATTTTGGAATTGGTTCACCTTTTGCACTTGTCCAGAATTTTTACATTACTTGCCTTAAACACAAGCTTTTTTAATATCATGGTTCATGTATATATAATAATGTAAATTATTTTTGGTTCATTAAGATGTATATGGCTGAATTGGTTTGAATGCTGGCCTGCATGGTTTTGTTGAATGAGCCTTTGTTCGGTTTCAAAATTGCAGGGGGACTACTGGCAAAGCAGAATGCGTATAAAAAAAAAAACCCATAGTACGTGACGGTTATTACTTAAAACCGTCAAGTATTAAAGTATACTTGACAGTTTTTCAGAAATAACCGTCAAGTTTTTTTAACAATACATGACGGTTCCCAAAACAGTCAAATATACATATAATTGTTCTAAAATAATTGACAGTTTTTTAGAAATAACCATCAAGTATTCAACACATAGTTTTAACAATACATGACGGTTCCCAAAACCGTCAAGTATACTTATAATTGTTCCAAAATAATTGACGGTTTTTTAGAAATAACCGTCAAGTATTTAGCACATAGTTTACGGTTTTTCTGAAAAACTGTCAATTGTTTGAATAATAATTGACGGTTCTTCATTTAAAACCGTCAAATATTATTGAAATATTTGACGGTTAATAACCGTCAAATATTTGCTGTTGAAATATATGATGCCAGTATACTTGACAGTTTTTAACTGTCAAATATGACCCAAAATAACCGTCAAGTATTTGTCATTTTGTAGTAGTGATATTTATATTTATTTTTTCTCTCAATTTCTCTTTTCATTCAAAGAAGCATATAAATAAAAAACAAAGTTTGGTGGTAGATCATAAAATAAAAAGCATTAACAGATGTTGCTTCTGAAAAAATATGAATTGAAAATTTTTTTTCTTCTAATAAAATTTATATCATTAATTGGAGGGAGTAAATATTAGATGAGGTAATAAAACGTAATTAATATTTTTATTAATATTTTTATAAGTAACTATCTTTAACAACTTTTTTTAATAAACATGAATTATTTTTTTAAAATGAGACAGTGGGAATAGTAATCTATTTATTAGTTACTTAGGAGGTGTTTGGATGAAACCAAATCATGGTTTGGAGAATAGATTTTGTGAAAAAGTAATTATGAGAAGTGGGGGTATTTGGATAATTGTTATCAGAAGCACTTTTTATATGTACAAATTACTAAAAAACATAAGTTAACATGATAATTACATAAAAGATAAATTTTATGATATATTTTAATTTGAAAGAATAAAATTGTTAATAATATATTTTTTACCAATATAATTAATAATACATAAAATGATATAATTAATAATTAATTAATATGTGTATATATTTATAAAATATAAGATTAAATATGTTTATAAAAAAATAATTGAGGGGTGTTAAAGTCATATTATCGTTGAGATCTATTCTGATAGGCACAATTATACTCTCTAATTTAAGTCAAAAGCAAAATGGATTGTTGTTTGGATAAAACCAAACCATGATTTGGAAAATAGCTTCTGAACAATAGATTTTGAGGAGAATAGATTTTGTGAAAAAGTGATTCTGAGAAGTAAGAATATTCGGATAGTTGTTATCAAAAGTACTTTTTATATATACAAATTACTAAAAAAAGGCATAAGTTAATATGATAATTACATAAAAAATAGATTTTGATATATTTTAATTTGAAGGAATAAAATTGTTAATAATATATTTTTTATCAACATAATTAATAATACATAAGATAATATAATTAATAAATAATTAATATTTGTATGTATATTTATAAGATATAAGATTAAATATGTTTAAAAAAAATAATTAAGTGGTGTTAAAGTCATATTATTATTGAGATATACTCTCAGGCTCTCCCTCGTACTGTATATGAAACAATGAGAAAAAGATGAATAATTGGGAAGGATATATCCGTCTGGGCAAAAAAAAAAAACAACAACAAAGCACATATCCCATAGGTTCTCACACTCTTCCTTTTTCCCTCCAAAAGCAGAAAATTTTTACTTCTGCTAAAACCATGGTTTGGGTGGGTCATCACCCAAACACTCTCTAAATTTTTCTGAAACCATAGTTTTGAGTCTAAAACTATAATTTTCACTTGAAACCGCGGTTTGTTAATTTTCCTCTCTGTTTAACAAATTTGAAAGGGAAAACCATATTGGAGGTACCTATACTTTCTCTCAATTTTCAATTTGGTACCTATGTGTTTTTTGTTCTTAACTAAATCTTTAATTTTGCTTTAACATCATTAATCCTTATGTAGAGACTAAAAATATCAATAGAACAAAGTTATAAAAGCTAATGTTGCTAAAAAAATAAAATTAAATGTTTAATTAAAGGGAAAAAACACATAGGTATCAAATTAAAAATTGAGAGAAAGTATAGATACCTCTAATATGGTTTTCCCAATTTGAAACCTAAACTATAGTTTGGTCTCAAAATTATAGTTTCATCGTGTTACAAAACACCCTTGGTTGGCATGCAGTGCACGCCTACCTGACTGACTGATTCCTCCCTAAAAGCACGGACGGCCTCTTATTGGTTCCTTAGGCGATTCACTTCCTTGCTCCTTCCCCCTATCATTATAAAATTCTTAAATGTATGGGTTAAATATTTAGCTGAACGTTCAGGGAAAATGAGGCAACCTTAGCCCTACAGGAGGGGGAAAAAAGGCAATACTAAATTGAATCCACCAACTTGTGAATAATATATTTTTTAAATTATACTCTATTCAGTTTAAAATATAAACTAACTTTTATTGAAGCAGTTGGTTTTTTTTATAAAATAATATTAACTTTTATCCAAACATTTAATGAGTTTTTTTAATTTTACCTCATATATTCTATTTTCTCTCTAATTCATTTATTATATCTTTTACCTATCTCTTCATTAATAAAGATATATTTAAAAAAATAAATATATGTCTTACATATTTATTGTTTTAAATTGATTTTAACTAGGTTTTTTAGAAATATAAATAAATAAAATTTAAATTATATTTTGAATCGAAGAATATATATAGAATACATGTTTATGCGTGTCAACTACTCCATTTGTTTTTTGTTTTTAATTTAATTTTTATATATTTATTATCCTCAGCTTGTCCCAGAAGAGAAAAAAAACGGAAGGAGTATTTTTGATGGGGATTCGAGCTTTCAATCTCAAAAGTCAAAAGCCGAAGGGTCAGTTTACCTAACACGCTAAAAATTAAAAAAAACGGAACCCTGTCAGCCCTCTGGCTAACTCCAGCCCTCTGAAAATACCCCAATTTTGAGAAAACCCACAGACAGATTCACTCCCCAGTTTCATCACGAAGGATTCCCCCACAACTCGCCAGACCGGGCTCACCTCTAGAGGCTCCATCAGTGTTGAGCTCATCGGAGTTTCCAATACATCTACAGGCTCCCTCAACCCAGCACTCATACGTTCAATGATACCCTTCACTTCAGCAAATTCTGTCGCTTGAGACCAAGTCAAAGTATGAAGCTTTCTCAGCTCTGAATAGCCGGCGATTCCTCTGCTTCCACGACTTCCAGCAGACCCCTCCAGAAAGAACACGCCACGGTATGTTTCTCATTTTCTGATCTGCTGCTCATCACATGTTGAACAATTTTCTTCACTTCTTTTTTAATTAAAATATTATTAGAAATTAAAATTGAAATTTCAGAATTTTTTTTGTACTCAAAGTATTTTCTTAATAATACTCATCATAGTAAAACTTCATGACCAAGATTACACCGAAATATAGTTTAGGATACTCATTGTTGCTAAAAAAATATTGTAAGAAAAAATTGTTTTTTTTTTTTGGTCAGATTAAGAAAAAATTGTATAAAAATTAATTTAAGATGCTAAATGCTGTGGAGAAAATATTGTACTAAAAGTATTCACTAGATCTAGTAGGTTTCTCGGGGAGACTTTTCAGCCGCTGTTCTTGTCCAAATTATATTATAATCACATTGTACTAGTGTGAGCTTTTTATCTTGAAACAACCCATCGTTTTCTTTGAGTACAAATATATGCAAGCATCTGTAATTACGTGCATGACTTTTTGTTTTTTTTTTATGTCCAATTAAATTAGTGATTTATCTTGGAACTTGGTTGATGCTTTTCTTTTTCATTTTGATTTTACAAACCAGACTTGCAGGTAAATATTGTCTTTGGAGAATCTTTGTTACGTTGATTCTTTATTTAATTTTTACCAGGACAAAATTATGAGTATTAGAAAATTAAACATAAAAAACAATCTGTTAGATGTTCTCACCATGTGACTGTAAATTTGTATTAATTGGATTTGTGTGTGTTCAATCTGTGACAGTATAATCATGCAGGATGCTGTTTCCTAACTTTCATATTTTGACAAAATCAAAGAATTATGTCTAATCATTTTGATCTTATAGATTAATCATATCAAAACATAACTACAAAAAATAAAATAAATACCATTTTCTGATCACCCTTCTTTTTGTTCGCTGTCTTCTGAAATATTTTCAATCAAATTATGTAATTTATTGGCTTTTAAATTAATTTTATCAAATATTATAATATTAAAATATTAAACATCAAACCTTTTAGACGCTTTTGTCATATTATGATGAATTTATATTAACTGAATATTTATTCTTGAATGAATTTATTTTTTCTGCATTTCATAACAAGTTTGGTTATTGAACTTTATTTTTCCCTCCTTTTGGTTCCTCAATAATTTCAGTAATATCAGGCAAAAAAAAATTGCAATAATGAATTTTAAGACTTGATTTTTTAAAAAAATTTAATATATCATATATTTGTACCAATTGGATGAATTGTTATTTGTTATTTTTGTACAGCTGGACATCTCTTAATTTGAATTAAGAGTTACTCGGGAGGGCATTTCGGCTTTATTCGTCTAACTTCACTATAATACTTGAGGTAAGTAACAAATATCATAATAACCCATTTAATCACTTTTTTTTTTATATTTTATTTTTCTTATTGTTTGTCATGAATATAGTAAAAGAATAATATCTCAATCACCAAATGAATTGATATCTTAATAAAGGCAAGGAATAAAAAACCGGTCCAATCATTAAATCGGTTGGGACAGTGGGTTAGATTAGGATTCAACCGGAATCAGACCGGTCATATTAAAATAATATAATTTAATTAACAATAACAAAATAAAACAAAATTTATAAATAATAATCTCTCAACAAAATATAACAAATTACAAAAATAGTTTAAATGTTTAATTTTTTCCCAACAATTTAAATGTTTAATTATACCAATCAAAATTATAAAAATACATAGCTATGTTAAGTGTTTAATTTTTTTTCCTCCCCGTGACATGCATAACAAGTAGCTTTCCTCTTTCTTCCTTGAACAATGAACAACCAGCAAGCATGGTAGAATAACAAACCTCCTAGAACACACTTCACGGTTCTCCGTTTCTCTTTCTCAGCTAAATTTCTTTTGCCTTCCTCATTTCTCTTTCATTTGTCCATACTTTATCCATCCTATGATCTCTATTATCTTCCTTCTTGCCCTCTAATCTTCTAGTTTCTCCTCCCTCTCTGTCTCTCTCAGTTTTTCTCGTACAACCTCAACAGCAAATAAGTCCCGCTGGTGAAGCTTTGAATGTTGAATCATCTGTTTATCTTTCTTTCATGTGTTTTAGTTTCTAAACTATGAAATGCTTCTTCACTTCATTTTCTAGCATGTTCAGGAAACCTCTCATAGTAAGGTTTGTTTAGCATTTCTCTCTCTATTTTCTCTCTTCCTCTCCCTTCTTTTCTTGGTAAATGTTCTCCTTTCTCACAGGTTATGAATTTTTAGGACGCAAAAAAGTTTAAAATGGATAAGCTATCCCACCTAGTAGTTACTTGGTTAAATGGTTTGTCACCGGTTCATTCCATCTCCAATCCAACAAGCAAACATGACTGGACTGGAGACTGGTTTGCCTGTTTTCTGGTTGAATTGGCCGGTTCGGTTTAATTTTTTTTACCTTCATAAAAGAGTGAAGTAGAGAATAATCTAAAGACTCTTAGTTTTATTATGACGTTTCTACTTTCTCTATTGGGTTTGGGTGTCATTATTAACTTAATATGTATTGTGGGTCTTTATTTAGATATTTATATCAATTGAACAACAAAAAAGAACAGCGGTATGGATATTTAATTATTAGCAGATAGACTTTTTTAGTGTATTTTCAGAAGAAAACCAACATCATCCTTCCGCGAATCATCGATTCATATTAAAAGTTGTAAATACAAAATATTTTGAATCTATCTATGTTTAATTTTCTTCTTTGGAATCTGTAGGTAATTTTTCCAACCTTTTTATTTCAAGTTTGGTGAGAGAGCACTATAAAAAAATTACAAAGTTGTTCGATTCTTTCTTTTGAACTTCACAATAATAAATTTAGAAGAATGAATATTTGTAGAAATTGAACTCTAAATTTTAAGATCCACAATGTCATAGGCTTAATTACGTGAATCATTGTTTGCTTCTTTATTGATTCCAGGCTCGCTTTGGTGAAACATATTCCTTTCCAGACTAATTTGACTGTACAGTTTGAGGTAATTAACAGAATAAATGCTTTATATTTTTTTAGTTTATTTCATTATAGTTGTTTGCTACATCTTATGATTTTTTCTGCTTAGATAATTTCTATGACTGTGTGAAGTTACAATACTTTGGGCCCGAAGTTATACTTTCTGATGCTCAATTTTGGGAAATCGCAGGAAATACTTTCAATTTTGTTTAAGAAAATATTCTCTATTTTTAGAGAGTATTTATTAATCATTAATTTTTTTTTTCGGTTGCCCACCCAATTCACTGGAGCTTTGCTCCGACTACATCTGGATCCGACCCCGGGTCGTGCACCTGACTGTGGTGGGTGAGTCTCCCAACAGGGATTTCTGTACATTGCTGTATAATATCTTCTGGTATGGTATAACTTAAGAATTCCTGTTTTTCTTGTACTCCTTCATAATTAATTAGTTTCAGTTATCGTCTTTCTGCATTGTTAATTTTTATGTCATTATTTAGATTTTATATTAATTGGCAGCAAAAGTATGTAAAAGCAACATTAAGTAAGTATATGTGATTGCGTTTTATTGCATCAGATGGCAGAGCTTGTGATATCAATCGGGTCAAAGCTTGCAGAATATTTGGTGGCTCCAATTGTACAAGGAGCTTCTTATTTGTTCTGCTTCAAGCAATTCATTGGAGGTGTTGAGAAAGCAAAACAAGAGCTGGAGGCGAAACTAGAAGACATGAAAAAGCGCAAGGAAGAAGCTGATCGAAAAACTGAAGAAATAATGCCATCCGTGAAGAAGTGGTTGGATGATGTGAATGCAATCCTAGAAGAGGTGCAAAAGCTACAACAAGAGCTTGAAGGAGGACGAAACAAGTGTTTTAATGTGTCACTAAGATATTCTATAGCAAAGCAAATGTAAAATAAGTCTAAGCATATGACAAATCTCAAACAAAATTCCAACTTTGAGCCATTTTCCCAACTGACCCAACTTCCTGGCATTAGATACTTCTCTTCCAAAGAGTTTATGGATTTCGACTCAAGAAAATCAATTTATGATCGTCTTTTGGAGGCAATTATAAATGGCAAAAACAACAAGGTGGGATTGTATGGTATAGCAGGCTCAGGCAAAACCACTTTGGCAAAGGAAGTGGGGAAGAAAGTGGATGAGTTGAAGCTTTTTGACAAGGTCATCATGGTAGTCGTTTCTAAACCCCCAAATATTCTGAACATTCAGCAAGAAATAGCAGGGCAAATAGGCTTGCAATTTCAAGAGGCAACTCAACTTACTAAAGCACAAAGGCTATCAGAAGGATTGAAAAATAAGAAGATTCTTATAATCCTGGATGATTTGTGGGAGCATCTAAACCTTGAAGATATTGGCATTCCACTTGTTGAAGGTTGTCATATCTTGTTAACAACTCGCCTTCGCAATGTATGTGGCTCCATGGGTTGTGAGCCTAAGATTGAACTACCTTTGATAACTAAGGAGGAGGCATGGGACTTGTTCAAGAAGCATGCAGACCTATGCAATGATCCCTCAAATATGTTTGGTGATGTGGGAGAGAAGATTGTTGATGAGTGCAAGGGGCTGCCAATTGCAATTGTAGCAGTTGGAAGGTCCTTAAAGGGAAAACATATTGAAGCATGGGAATCAGCATTATGGAGACTAAGACACTTCCAACCGTTGAATGTTGGACAAGGTTTTGTGAGTGCTTATTCATGCCTCGAATGGAGTTATAGTAGTTTGCCCAGTTCCACAGCCAAGTCACTCCTTTTATTATGCTCTATGTTCCCTGAAGATCATGAAATCCACAAAGAAGATTTAATTCGATTTGGCATGAAGACACTTGAGTCAGAGGAGTCTATTGTTACAATAGAGGATGCAAGGAGAGTGATTTTTGATGCTCTTGAGATCTTGTTGGATTCTTGTTTGTTAGTCAGTATAGAGAAGAAAGCATGTGTAAAAATGCATGACTTAGTTCGTGATGTAGCCTTATGGATTGCAAAGAAGCAAGGTCAGGTGATTTTGGTGGACAGTAGTGAAGTTTCAAACATTTTGCTTGGCTATCGCCAAAATCTGAAAGATACAAAAGCACTCTCATTTTGGGATTTAGATGATAATTTCAATCTCTCTTATCAATTGCATTGTTTGACACTAGAGATTTTGCTACTTCAACCTCATGGGTTTATTGAAGATTTGGGAGCAGTAAAAGCACTCAAAGTCTTGGCACTCATAAAGTATGGCTTTGAATGGGGATTTCGGAAGGGCTTGGAATGGGGATTTCAAAAGCGATCATCTGTTTGTTCAATCCCACAATCAATTGTGTCATTAACATATCTTCACACCTTATGTATTAGAGGGAAAAAATTGGGTGATATCTCTCTATTGGGTGAATTCACAACATTGGAGATTCTTGACTTACGTGGTTCTTTGTTTGATGAATTGCCTGCTGGAATTGTAGACATAAAAATGCTGAAACTTTTAGACATATATGATTGTCGAATTGAGAAAAGCCCTATAGAAGTAATTGGTAGATGTGAGCAGCTTGAAGAATTATATTTTTTGGACTACAAAACAGTCATCCCACATAATTTCTCTCTTTCAAGATTAAAGAGGTATGTTCTTTATGACTCCACATGTAGTATAATTCGTGCATATAAAGATGACCCTTTTCAAGAATATCTGGATAGTTGTCGTGAAACATTAAGAGCTTTATGCATACAAGGCTTTAGAGTCTCTGCTTTGAATTCATCAATGAAAAATCTCATTCTTAGAGCAAATCACCTTTGGCTGGAAAATTGTGAGTGGGATTATAAAGATATAAATTTTCAAATAAACCACTTAGGGGTATCATGCTGTCAAGAGAAAAGATTCATCCTTGAGAAGCCTGATGTGAACATTCTTCAAACACAACAAGTGTTCTCACGCTTGATCACTTTAAGATTGTTTGAAATGAACAGTCTTGAACAAGTGTTTCAAGATTCATGTATTGGCTGCTCTCTCCCTATGTTAGAAGAGCTATGGATACGGAATTGCCCTAAATTGAGAATTTGTATCTTCTCGTATGCCACCATTACGAGCCTGCCAGAGTTTAGAAAACTTCGTATTAATGGTTGTGACAAAGTGAAATGGCTACTGTCTTATTCCCTAGCTTCTTATTGTCCTTTACTGGATGAAATAATTATATGCAATTGCTCTGAATTTGAGAGGCTCATTGATAAAGACGCTGCACAAGGGGATCCACTACTTCATGATATACAAGATTATCCACATGTAAGTCTTATCCTCCGCAATATCCCTCTTTGAATCATTGCATAATAGAAATAATAGTCCGCATTTACACATTTGATGAAAATTTAATTTTTAAACCGAATTTTTTGGTTTTCTCTTTTGATACATGTAAATTTGATATCCTTTTCTCAATTATGTGAAATCAATGCCTTCTTATTTTAACTCTTGTGCTGAACCAAAAAAAAAAAAACTAGAATCATGCAACTGCTAATAATTTCACACATTGTAGGTATTTTTTTCATTTTGCTCACTCTACCTATTTTATTTTCAAAAACAAATTGAAGATATTAACTTTTTCGTTTAATTTGAAAAATCCGTGCTTATGATCGAACAATATATACAAGTATAAATATATATATATATATATTCTCTCAATAACCAACAAGAGTCATGTTATTTTTCATTTTGTTTATTCTACCTCTACTTTCTTTTTAATTTAAAGATAGCCATGTTTACAATGGTATAATATATATTTATGTTTTAAAAAATATTCTTAGTAGGAGATAATAGTCATTTTATTTTTGCCTTGAGTTCATTGTAACTATATAAGCCTCTTTTTATTATGAAGTTTTCTGAGCTCAGTATTTAGGCTACGCGATAAAACTACTTTTTGGGTTTTTCTTTATTTTGAAGATAACAAAATGCTATTGTTTTTCAAGCTTTGTATTTTTCATTTTAATTCTTATTAATTTTTTTTTTGGCATCAGTTATTTATCGCGGGCAATACTTATTCAAAGTCATTCTATTTATAATTAATTAGCATTGATGCATTATCCATATATTAAATGTTCTTTCTTCATTTGGATTTTTCTGCCATGCTTTTTCGTGGATGAGAAAAAACACTTTTTAACTGTCTCCCTGTGCCTAAAAACAATTGTATGTTCATATTTCAATTTTTGGTCAAATAATTATTCGTGTTGGTCAAGAAATATATAATATGTCTACTTATAGATACACACACACCATTAATTAAAGTTTATAATAGAGGTTGAATGCAATCATGTAGCAAAAAATATATAGAATATTCGTTTGTTAGATGCATTTTGAGATTATGTTAATTACCACCATTTAAAAAATACGTGAAATCAATTTCAAAATGAAAGTCAAGTGTTGCTTGTTATCGTAAATAGTTTTGCAAGTCACAATTTCTATCACCATCTAATATATTATAAATTACTGTCGTTTCTTTCTTTATTTAAAGACTTTTAACTATATAACAATGTTTGTATCATGAAGTTCTATATCTCTGTACTGCTGCTGGTTCTCGGTATAAAATTTAGTTTGCAGCGCACCTCAATGATAATATTTTTAAAATGTATAGGATACATAAATGATCATATATGTGATTGAAGAACTTTGCATAATGGAGTATGTAATATGCTAAAGATTAAAGGGAAGATTAAGGACTGAGTAGCAATAATAAATAAAAGTCCACGGCCAAATTTTATATTTTTTTCAATAAAATAATTATTTATGATACCACACTTTAAGATAAATGTTTTTCTTAAATTTTGTTTTGATATTTAAAAAGATCTCTCTTACCGTGCCTCTTTTATTGCTATTAAAATTTTTATTTTTTCATTTCAAATTTTGGTAACAAAAAAGTCGTGATTGTTACTATTTATATTTGCCTACTTGTTAAAAAGGATTATTTACCAGCAATAGTTGGCAATAATTAATATATAATACAAGAAACTTACCGGGTTTAATCTACAATCTAGTTAGAGTAAAAAGCAAGTTATCATAATCAGTCCATTTTATCATTCTAATTTTAATACATTTACAGGGAAAGGAGACTGACAGTGCTTATGTGGGCGTTATAGCAAAAAGATTCAATCAATTGCAAAATGAGCAATCCTTGATCCTTTTTCTAAGGTTGAAAAGTGTACACATTGAAAGAAGTGGAAAAAAGAAAGGTATATTGGAAATCCAAGTCAGAGGAAGAGTAAAAGATGATGAAGAATCTATTAAAGCCCAAGAACCTCCAAAACTGGATTCAGAGTTGAGTGAATTAACATTAGATGGTCTACCAGAATTGGAATATATTTGGAAGGGCCCCACCCAAATTGTGAGCCTCCATAGACTTGAAAATGTTTTATTGTGGAGCTGCCCAAAATTAAAAAGTATCTTCACTCTTGTTATTGTTGCAAGCCTTCCAGAGTTGAGAACACTTCAAGTATATGATTGCGAGGAATGGGAGGGAATATTTTGTGAAGAATCACTCAAAAACCTCTCTTCTTCTAATATTTGCTTCCCCAAACCTAAGCAGATTTTCATACGCAGTTGCAACAGAGTGAGATGGTTGTTATCTTATTCTGTGGCATCTCATTGTCCTTCACTAGAGTTTATATCCATAGACAATTGCTCTGAATTTGAGAGGCTCATTAACAGAGAAGCTGCACATGGGGATCCACTACTCCATGATTATCCATATGTAAGCCTTGTCTGCAATATCTCTCATTGCATATTAGAAATAATAATAATCCATATATGTTGATGCATTTGCTAAAGTAGCCATGTTCAATTTACATCTCCCTTTTATTTGAAAAATTTTTGTTTGCTATCGTATAATATATATTTGTATAATCATTAAAGATAACTTCTACAGTAATTATTTTATTTTTGACTTCACTTTATTATACCTGTATAAACCTTTTTTTATTATTGAATTTTCTTAGCTACATATTCAGGCTGCACGATGAAATTATTTTCTGAGTTTTCCTTATTTTTCATAATAATAAATATTATTGCTTTTTTGAGCTTTCCCTTTTTCTTATTAATTTTTTTTAAATAATGACTTTTATTTGTCAGATGCAGTAGCATTTTATATTGCTTATTCTGCATTTTGGTCAAGGAAATGAGTTTTTCATATTGTTTTTGCTATTAGGTATTTATTGTGGGAAGTGCTTGTTCAAAGTTATTTTTATTCAAAAATAAATTAGTATTGATGCATTATCTAAAAACTACACATACTTTAAGAGAAATATTTTTAATATGTGTACTTCTTGTTTAAAAAAAGAATATATATATTATTTATTAAATGTGATATAGTTGTTATAATAGAGAATTAACATGATCATGTAGTAAAAAGTGTATACAACATTTGCCAGTCACACATTTTCTATGTTACTATAAAAATTGATTGACTCTGGTAAAACGCATGTTGAGATTATGTTAACACAATTTTAAAAGTACATTATTTTTATTTTTCCATTAAATGATCAATTCGGAAAATACTTATAATGGCTAGCATAATATAAATTAGTGTCCATAGAAGTTCTCACTAGAGATTTCAAACATTTTGATAAAATTTTTCTTTCGCTCACCTACCTCTTTTTCATAGAATTTCTATTTAGCATTTACATTATACTGCTCAAATTTTCTTTTTCTTTTTTCAGTACTACAAAATATTATTTGCAAGCTGCATTTTTTAATTTATCTTTCCACATATGAATTTGATAAAAATTTTAATCTCTTTAGTTCATTTTAATTTTTTTGTCAAATAATTAATTTCATTTTTCCAAACAACACTTTTGATTTTTTATTTTGTCAAGCAAATAATTATGTGGGAGTGTATTTTGTTTAGAATAAGTTGGAGTGGATATAATATCTATAAATTACCAATTTGTTAAATTTTCTGTGGACGTTAAAAAGATCTTTGTCATTGTGCATCTTGTATTGCTATTAAAATTTGTATGTTTTCCTTTCAACTTTTTAGGTGAAACTAACTGGCATGCTTTAATCTCTCAGCAACCTTTGATTTGAAATTATTCTAAACTGGAGCGGCTTGTTGAAGAAGCATCATATGGGGATCGGCTACCACTTCTCAAATTGAAGTACGTAAGCTTGCGGTCATTGCCGAAATTGAGAGAGATCTTCTCGCACGTGAGTGTTTTCCCTCACTATTTCTTTTTCTTTATTCAAGGTTTCCGTAGACACACATATATATCGCAATTTTTTTATTATCCAATTTTAGAGGTAATGATTCCACTATTTTTTTTAAATTTTCTCTTTTTTAAATATAAATAACTATTATCTTAACATTTATTTGTTATTTTTTTATGGATGAATTTGTTAAACTTATTTTTTAATTCTTTATCATACACGAGGCTTTATATTTTTCATTTTACAGCTTTGTCAAGGAAATAACTTCTTTGTTATTGTAAAAAGTACTTGTTGATGATTGTTTTGTGCAGAATGAATCATTGGAAATATTTTCTCATTTTTTTTGGACGTGAGAAAATTCTTTTTACAGCACCTATTTTCTTTTCCTCTTGTTTACTTTTTAAATTTATTTGAAATATTTGTGTTTACTATCAAACAATATATACTAATAACAAAACTATATCCAAATGAAAAGCAATAATCATTTCGATTTTTATTTAATATTTTGCATCTATAAAGGAGTGTTCTTGTCATGAAATCGAACTGGAAATTACGTGAAACATTAGCAGTTCACACTAATGCCTGGTTACATGGTTTCGGAATCATTTTTTGTTTCCGTTTTATTTTTGAGCAGTTCTTTATCATTTGAAATAAATAAACGTCGATGCATAGTTATTTGTGTGTGTATTTCACATTGGACCATCAATAATATGTATAAGAAAAGTCTAACTTAATAAAATTCATCTTACTGAGCTTATCTTATTACAGTTTTATAAATATGTGAAATGAATGGGGTTCACTTTTTAATGTTACAGTGCCATTAAATTTATGTGGTTCATGTGTGTATATAGTCCATATGTTGAATTTTCATCTAATCACCGAATATATTTACTTCACAGAAACATGGGAATGACACAATGAGGGTGGTAAAGTCAGAATTGTGTTCTATACGGTTAGTAAGTCTAACAAAATTAGAATACATTTGGAAGGGCCCCACCCAAATTGTGAGCCTCCATAGACTTGAAAATGTTTTATTGCAGCACTGTCCAAAATTAAAAAGTATCTTCACTCTAGCTATTGTTACAAGCCTTCCAGAGTTAAGGAGACTTGAGGTAGAAGGATGCCATGAATGGGAGGAAATATTTTGTGAAGAGTCACTTAAGAATCTGTCTACTACTTCCGCTGTTTGCTTCCCCAAACTTGAGACCATTCGTATATGGCATTGCCGCAAAGTGAGAAGGGTGTTCTCGTATTCTCTGGCATCTCATTGTCCTTCATTGAAGCAAATAACTATATGGAATTGCTCTCAGTTGGAGAGGGTTGTTGGAGCTTATGAAGGTGAAGTAGCTGCTCATCATCAAAGGCTGTTTCCTAAACTGAATGATTTGGATCTCACGAAGTTGCCAAAGTTGAGAGAGATTTATGAAAGTTATGAATTCAACCACCTTCCTGGTACTCTAAAAATAGAAAATTGTCCAAAGATATCAAACATCCCATTAGACGACAAGCCCTCATCATCAGGTTCGTAGCTACACTCTTTCTTTCAAACTATTGTCATATTACGAGAAAAAGATTCTATCTTAACACACACACATCCCTCTATTTTTTTAATAAGAAAATGCAATCACTCCCAAAAAAATTTTCATGTCTATATAACGGTCGTCATATCAAAATCATAATAATGTACTCGTATTAAATAAGTGACATGTTATGGTAATATTAGAAGTTGAATAATTATATAGAACTCAAAAATAATTAATTTCCACCATTTACACATTTTTAGCACATTATTTCTCATCATTATAAATAGTTAGCTCTAATTTGATACACATTATCGAAGGACAGTCTCGAAGATTCTGAAGAATAAACAAGGTTATTAATATTTATTTTGTCTATATGTTCCATTTTGATTAAGTTGCTAATTAGTTGTTTTTTTTTTGTTGTCAGCCTTGGAGATAAATCGGAAAGTTAGATAATGAAGGGGTGATGATGAGCTTTGGATCTTCCAATGGTTTCTTTATCTGCATTTGTGTTTTACTAAGTTGTGTGTGAAAATATGTTGGATTTGTATCGGTGAGTTGAAAATTACACGAAAATTATTTTTTTTAAAAAAAGCTTAAAAATTGGGACATACCTTTACTTTGAAGTTGCATTTCATTTGAGTCCGTCAGAGCTATGTTACTGTATTCAAGATTGTACACAAAATACAATAACTGTGGCCTTTGTTGCACAACTTATTTCATTTCAAATATTGTATCAATCAATGATTTCTTATGTTATGCTTTATTTCAATCTTGCAATATAGTTGTTATTATTTTTAAAAAAATACAATCACAATTCTATATTCATTTATACAAAAAAAAAATCATCACAAAAAAGGTTTTTCAAATAAAAAAAAAAGGATAACATACTTTTAAATTGGAGACGAGTAAGTTTTAAAGGTATCACCCATAATCTCTCCACACTTGCTTTATCCTTCAGAAGGATAAAATCACGTTAACGTTTATAAAGCTTTTTAAGTGAAATTTTATAATCCAATCCATCAATTTGACAACCGTAAATAACTATAAATTTTTTAAGAGTTGCCTACATTTTGTATAAAAATTAAAACAATTTTTAAGAGAAAACATCATTAAAGGGATAATAATATTAATCTATCATCAAATAGAATTTGATTATGTTATTAAAAAAAATTATATCTATCCTTTACAAGGAATAGTGATAAGGGATAACTATAAAAAAAATATGACTAAACTTCCTAGCATTTAATTTAACAATAAAAATATCATCCATAGCACACTCCACTTACTATAAACCAAAGTATCTTATCTATAATAATGTTATTATGAATTTCTTGCAATTCAAGTAACAAGACTAACGAATCAACATAATCAAAATTTAACAATCAGTATGATCATAGGCAGTACTTAAACTGATTCTGGTAAATAGTGACTGACTTGCCAATCGATGCCTCGACTCAAAAGATATGCAGGAGGTGGAGTTGCGATTGCCAATCGGGATGCTGCCTTGTATCCAGCAGTTGACTACATTGAAAAAATTTTTATCAGAAAAAGCAAAATTCACAAAATAGTTAAGAGGCTAACATTATGATTATTCTACATTCTTCCTCTTATCACTTGGTATGCACCTTGAAAACGAACGGAATGGAAAAATAGAATTTGAGGGTAAAAATTAAACATCATCCTCTTACTTTGAAAAAGTAATAGAAAGAAATGTTGAATAAGATTACAATGGTATAATAGACATTGCTGCAAAACAAGGAAGAAAAACCCCTTTGTCTAATAACTACCAAATAAGTGAGTTGGGAAAAATATGTTCAGAAACCGTCAATAGGAATATGTGAATGTGAGCACGAAGGTGGCAACTGGTGTGTGGGGATTCTAACTTCTCAAGACCTTGGAATTTCCAAACCATTTGAACAAGACATAAAATCGGGGGGAAATTATCATATTTACATTACATAGAATATATGTAACACAAATATTGAAAAGCCCATGTTTTTTTTTTTTTTTTTTGCATCTGGCCAAACATAACTTAGGCATGTTGAGTTGCATCAGAAAAGAACATCACTCTCTTTGCAAGGACATTGAAAACAACAGTAATAATAATGAATGACATGAATAGGATAGCAGATGGTTATCTCAACCATTGAGACAATAACTGCCGACATTGTAGCAAATACATGACCGGGGGAAAATGTTGGTGGGCCCCATTGGGGGGGTATGGAAACATGAACCTTTTAGTAGCATGGAAACAAAACCTCAGACCTCGGCAACAGAGTGTTCAAAACATAAGAAGAATCCAACAAAAAGATGGTGTACCATGGGGCTGTAGATATCAGGTTTGCTCTGTCTGTATGACAAAAATGATGTGTTCTAGCAAGTTTGTGCTGGTAAGCTCCACTTGCAGCAAGTATAATACCTTAGATCAAACAATGGCAATGCAAATCAACACTGGGAATCACTCAAATATAGGGTTATCTCTAAATGGTCTCATATGCTTAAAATACTGCAATTTATACAGAATTAGTTTTGCCTGAAGGAAGAACTCATAAGGTGATGACTTGATCCAGCATGTTTTATCAGTGATTTTCCACTTACTTGTGACAATCCAATCACCAACAACAGCATTGGCAGACCGATTTCTACACAGTTTCTCAACTGAAATAGAGAATCAAATAATTTAGTACAAGGGCTTTTTAGATGCTACTATTAAGCATCATCCAGAGTAAACGTCCTTTTGTAATTGAAATGGTGTGGTCACATAATTTGCCTTGTCATTTTATTTTCCCCTCGAATGTATAACATGTAGAGCTGCTCATAGCAGCGCATATCGCAGGAAATCCTCGTTGAAATAATCCTAATCCAAACAATCCAACTACAGGTGCCATGTTAAGAGGACTGAAAAATCTGAGGAGAAGATCCATAAACCATATTTCAGTAAATGCTTGGATATATTGTTTTTGGTAAAATTCATTTCACCAACATTTTCAAATGCAATTTGTGTGCCTTGAAAGTAGTCCCCCAACGTGGCTGTATCCCAGGATTATCTGAATACTTGAGGCTACAATTAGAGCTCCTTGTATAGCTCGCATTGACTGTATAAATCTCTCTGCTAATGACAAAGGAAGAACCTCAATCAATTATCAGATGGCAAGAAACAATAGAAAACCACTGTGCATTACTAAAATAATTGACCACAACGAAGAGATGGATGAATGAAACTTACTTCATGATTATCACTAATTAGATGCAATGAGGAGTCACTGATAACATAAACAATTGGAACTAAATAGGCATAAGATCCTCCAACAACTGTAGGCAATCTGGTTCTGAAAAGTGATTGGGGAAGTATGTTGATGCCAGCTACAAAGAGTAAAGTTTATATTACTCTTGCTTTGTCACCCTGGTTTTATGAGTAAGCAAATCACTAAATGCTTTGTGCACCATATTAACAGAACCTGACAAGATCATGTTGGCCAAAAATTTAACCCTATATAGTTAAAAAGAATTCTGTGAAGCTTTGTCAAGTTACAGATTAGAATGGGAATTGGCACGAGATCAGCAGCAAGCATAATGTAACTTAAATGTAGATACTTAACGATACAAAGCATAAACAAACTGATATACCATTCCTTCACGCTCTTTAGTGAAACAAGAATACAAGGCTTTTAAACCATGCATGGACAAGTAAGCAATAGTGAAGGAAGTAGAAAAGATGAAAGACAAACAGCAGAAATTCAGCTTACATCACTTCCTCCCATGGCTGGAACGAGCAATGAAGATATCATCACACTTGTCCCCAGCACCAATATGTAATTTTGAAATCCCAATATGATAGTTTCCACTGCAACATAAGGCATTCACTATGAGCAGGAAAAGGGACAAAATTGAATTGGAAAAAAAATGTAAAGAAACATGTAGCTACACGTACCCTTCATTGTCTAAATATTGGAGGTTTTATTCTGTAACCAAGATCATATATTTGTTTAAGTTGAGAAAGCTAGAACGTTTCAGATGTCAAGATACATAGGGTGTAAAAGAATCCTCCCTCCCTCCCTCCCTCCCTCCCTCTATCTCTCTCTCATTCACACTCAAATGCAAGCACACGCACACAAGCCCACAATAGAACACTCTATAGATTAGTGGAAGAAAGTCAGCAGCAGAACATGAGAATAGCTTTCTTTTATCATTTGACTTGCACAGGCAATATATCACACAACTTACATTCATATGCTTAAATTACAACAGAGGACTAGATTAGGACTACGGTTTCTTGATGCAACTCAACTAGACCTCAGTCACTCACAAGTAAACATCCAAGTGAATCTTTACACACCAATGACACTGAATTTTGTGTGATACAGATTAGTATTATGCTAATACATTTTCCAGGGTAAGGACCCTCAAGGGACCTTCATGAAGTTCCCATCTGTACTTCATGCAGCTAGCCATCTAAAGAAAAATGAGTATTCTTAACTATGATTATAAATAAATAAATAAAAGAACAAAAAGACTCCATTCATAGAGGTTTCAGGCATTAACTATCAAGTTTTCCACCAAAAACATAACAAGCGCATAATATTCATAACTCAAGAAGCACATGATTGAGTCTTCCTAAACCTTCTCCATATCTCCTTTTTTTTTTTTTTTGGGAGAACCTTATAACAAACACAAGTAAATTCGGCAAAGTATGTCCAAAGAAAACACAGTTCTAAGTAGTTAGTCCAAATAGTCCAAATTCTAGAAAATAAAGTCAGTAACTATTTGTGTCATTTTTAATGCTATGACTCCATTTCTCAATTCCAGATAGCCCAGTAGCTTAAACCTTTTAACTATACAAGCTGATTTGAATTCCCAATAGTTTCACTGTAGGTGTAAGCTACACCAAAAATAAACAAGTAATATTGAATCAGCTATTACAGATAGAACATCAACTCATGCAGGGGTTACTAATGGAAAAAAGTTAAATAAATAAAGGGTTGGTCTTAAATAAATATGTGGGGCCA